CGCCATGCTTCATCCAGTGTTTGCGTTTCGTCGTCGCAATGGCATCAACGTCTAGGTCATCCTACCAATAATGTGGTCACCTCCATTGTTCGGAGCCATGACCTTCCTTGTTCTCGTTCAAATAATTCACCATTAGTGTGTGATGCATGTCAGCGTGCTAAGAGTCATTAACTACCGTATTCTATGTCTTATCATGTCACTATTGTACCTCTTGAATTAATACATTCAGATGTTTGGGGTCCCGCTATTGCGTCTTCAGGGGGTACAAGTATTATGTCAGTTTTGTTGATGATTACACGCGCTTCACTTGGATTTATTTGCTTAAACATAAGTCTGATGTTGAGCAAGTCTTCTATACCTTTCAGACTCATGTCGGACGCCTCTTGGATTGCAAAATCAAGGTTGTTCAGTCCGACTGGGGTGGTGAATACCACAAGCTCCATCGCTATTTTCAATGCACGGGCATCTCTCACCGTGTGTCGTGTCCACATACATCTCAGCAGAACGGTATTGCCGAGCGCAAACACCGTCATTTGGTCGAGACCGGCCTTGCCTTACTGGCACACTCGTCTCTTCCACTCCGGTTTTGGGATGAGGCCATTCTTACGGCGTGTTATCTCATCAACCGTATGCCCACTCCGGTTCTCAACAAAGACACGCCTCTGTTCCGCCTGTTTCATGTTCAACCCAATTATTCCTCTCTTAGGATTTTTGGGTGTGCTTGCTGGCCTAGTCTCCGTAAGTATAATGCTCACAAGCTGGAGTTCCGTTCGAAGATGTGTGTCTTCCTTGGCTATAGCCCTCTACATAAGGGCTATAAGTGTCTTGATCGCACCTCGGGTAGGATCTACATCTCTCGTGATGTTGTTTTTGACGAGTCAGTTTTCCCTTACTCCAGCCCGGGTGTCTCGGTTGACATTGCCTCCATTGAACATGCTCTCACTTTTCCATCTAATGAACCGGTTTCGGATGTCCATGTGCGGAAATACGACCTGTCCTATTTGTCACCTGACTTGTTTTCTACAGATGCTACTCTAATTTCTTCCCAGGAACCCGTCGCCGCACATGTACCCATTGGCGCGATCGACGTGCATGGCCCCAACGTGCATGCCACGCCTTCCGAGGCAGCCTCATCGGCCTCGCCCGCTGGCGCGACCGCGGGCACGACTGGGTCGCCTGCTGTGTCCCCCGCCTCGCCTGGGTCGGCCTAGCCCGCCTCGCCTATTTCAGTTGTCGTCGAGTCGCCAGTCGCGTCCTTTGGGCTGCCGTCTCCGCCTGGATCTCCCTCGTCGCCTGCTTCGGCCCAGTCCGACGCGTCACCCCGGCCCGTGTCGCCTATTGCTGACGATCGTTCAGCCGCGACACCACCGGTCGGGTCTCCTTCGTTGCCGCCACCTTCTACCGGCGATGCAGCTACCGGGCACACTATGCTCACCCGTCACCGCGATCATACGCATAAGGCCAAGACATACACGGATGGTACGGTGCAGTACAACCCTCGTCGGCGTGCATTCTTCGCCGCACCCACTTCTCATCGTGATGCTCTTGGTGAACCGGCTTGGCGTGCCGCCATGTCTGAGGAATTTGCTGCCCTTCGTCACACAAACACATGGGTGTTGGTGCCTCGGCCTCCTGGTGTTAATATTGTGGGTTGCAAGTGGACCTTTAAGACCAAACATCGTCCGGATGGTTCTGTTGACAAGCACAAAGCCCGCCTCATTGCTCGCGGTTTTACTCAACAGCAAGGGATAGACTATGGAGATACTTTCAGCCCCGTGGTGAAGCCTACCACGATTCGTCTGGTCCTCTCTCTCACCGTCTCCCGCGGGTGGTGTCTTCGACAGATTGATGTGAGTAATGCTTTTCTTCACGGATTTTTGGCCGAAGATGTCTACATGCAGCAGCCCCCTGGCTTTGAGGATGCTCATCATCCCTCTCATGTCTGCAAACTCCAGAGGTCCATCTACGGGCTCAAACAGTCGCCGCGTGCCTGGTATGCTCGGTTGAGTCAGCGTCTCTCACAGCTTGGCTTTGTTCCTTCCAAGGCGGATGCGTCCTTGTTCATATTTTCACATGGTGCTATTCAGATCTACATGCTGGTGTATGTTGATGATATTGTGATAGCCGGTTCTACACCTAATGTGGTGGATCGCCTTGTGCAGTCCTTGTCTGCGAGTTTTCCCATCAAAGATTGGGCAGGCTGGAGTACTTTCTTGGATTGGAAGCGTCCTTTCATTCAGGGGGCATGACATTGACACAGAAGAAGTATGCACTTGATCTTCTTCATCGCGTCAACATGGAGAACTGCAAGTCCACTTCCATTCCACTTGCTACATCCGAGAGCCTCTCGCGTCACAGTGGAGCATTGATGAGTATCGATGACTCTTTCAGGTACCGCGGTGTAGTTGGAGCACTGCAGTATCTGACACTCACTCGTCTAGATATCTCCTTTGCCATGAACAAAGTGTGCCAGTTCCTGTCTCAGCCTACCGAGGTTCATTGGGAAGCAGTTAAGCGTATTCTGAGGTATATCAAAGGTACGCTAGACACGGGACTACGGATTCGTAAGTCCAGATTTACTGGAGTCAGTATATTCACCGATGAAGACTGGGTAGGTTGTGTTGATGACCGGCGTTCTACTAGTGGCTTTGCTGTATTTGTTGGACCCAATCTTATATCTTGGAGTTCCAAGAAGCAACCTACGGTCTCGAGGTCTAGCACCGAGGCAGAGTATAAGGCATTGGCAAATGGCACGGCTGAAGCCATTTGGATAGACATAGTTCTCACAGAACTTGGAGTCACACGGCAGCGCACACCCATATTGTGGTGTGATAACTTAGGGGCAACTTACCTGACGGCGAATCCAGTGTTTCATGCTCGTACCAAACACATTGAGATTGATTTCCATTTTGTGAGGGAACGAGTAGCTGTTGGTAAACTGGAAGTCAGGTTTATATCAACTGATGATCAGTTAGCGGATGTATTTACTAAACCCGCTACTCGACAGATGCTAGACCGTTTTAGAACCAATCTGAATCTTGTATGTAGTTCAGATTGAGGGGGCATGTAAAATAGGGTCTAGCATATTGTACATGTACACGTATTTATATACGTATGTAATTGTATTCTGATCATCTATATATTGAGACGTGAGGCTGGATGTTAGCCATCCACGCAAAACCCTAAACCTATCTTTTCAACTCTCTTCTGTTGTTGTGAATTGCTCACTTAATGAAGTTCTACGGTGTGTTCATGTCGGACTCTTGTGTGTTCAAGACCATCCCAACGATAGGCCGCTAATGTCATCAGTTATGCTTATGCTGGAGAATGAAAACACACTACTTCCAACTCCAAAGCAACCTGCATATTTTGCTCTAAGTAATTGTGAAGGTCGAGAAGCAACAGATAACATAGAGAACTCCACAAATGCAATTAGCATCACAACCTTGGAGGGTCGTTAAATGTTGTATGACTTAGTGTGCGCAGATATTAGTATACTCTCCTTGTGAACTAGACTTTGCATTGTTATATTTGTGGTGCTTCGTACTTCTTATGAACCTTTAAAGTAGATCTGAATGTTTTTCGGCAAAACAGGAGTGACGGCCTCAGGAGTTGCCAAGTACTCCCTCAAAAAACGTCTTACATTATGGGACGGAGGGAGTAGTCTAGAATTGGTAGAGGAGAAACCAAAGCTGCAGAGAGCCAGGGACCAAGAACTCAGGGGCGACCTCTGAACTGGATGAGCAACTCGGCTCGATCAGGCAAGCATGGGGCCTAAGTTATCAGGAATTTTGATAGCACAAGCAATGAACGCCGGGCGCATGGTTCAATAGCTCTCACCCTGAGATCATTTGTGTGCCATTAGCTACCTCGTTTGATCTAAATCTCAGACACCAAAGTGAGTGATCACACTGCACATCACAAACTGAAGGAGAAGCAGAGCAGAGTCTACAAATACGCAACCCTTCATTCCTAGTAGATCACAAACTGTACATCAACCGAGCAGGAACACAAACAAATATACTAGCAAGCATCAGATTCACAAAAACGAAGAAAGAATCAATCAACAGGCAGCAATCAAGTCAACCACGCGGCGGTCCTCTACTCTCTACACTCACTGACGCCATCCGTGGCGACCGAACGCGCGAAACGGTCGTCGCTGATCAGGCATTCCCGCCCATCGGCACCGGCTTGTCGCCCCGGTGCGCCTTGTTGTACGCCCGGTGGCGCCGCTCCCTGGCGTAGATCACCCAGAAGATGAGGGACAGCATCACGGCCGCCGACACCAGCACCAGCCCGATGTACACCCACCTGCTGTACCGCTCCAGCCCCGGGCAGTAGTTCTGGCTGATGTTGCTGAAGGTGTCGCGCACGAAGGTGCAGTCCTGCAGCTGCACCAGGAACGGCCCGTACTGGTACAGCCCCAGGCTCACGTTCAGGCCCGCCGCCATCTGCCCGAAGATCCGAGGGGTCAGCCGCCCCACCGTCGTGCACACCTCGGTCCCTGACACAATCCTCGTCTGGCACTCGAAGCTCCTGAAGACCTGCATTCAGCGGCACGGGCAGACAAACCATTACCAGTGTTGTTCAGAGTTTTCACCAAAATGATGTGATCTCAAAGTGCAACTGGCAGGCAGCCACAAACTATACGATTACCTGGGTTGCATTGTCCAAGGTGACCTCTCCGCGGGCGCAGGTGCGCTTGCTCAGATTGGGTCCAAACGGGTTGCAGAGTGTGGGTATCAGTGGCCCTGACTGGTTGTAGTAGAAGGGAGTCGCCGCCGGAGGGAAGTTTCGGTTTGACACATTGGAGAGCACCTGGTTCACCAGATTCACTAGCTGTGATGTGACTTCCTTGGTTCGTGTCAGGGTCTCGTTCGCCGTAGCCGGTTCAACACAGGGGATAATGTCATCCAGAGCAGTGTGTTCTGTTGGATGAGCAACCCACTCGTCCATTGAAACACAGGTGTCACCAACAACACTGTCATGGCAGAAAAGGTGACAAATAGACAGAATAAGAGAACTCGTTCATCATAGCATAAGAGTCGTTATCACAAAGTAAGCAAGCACTATAGCACCAGTTACTGGACCAAGACAAACATAGCATGTAATAGTACCCACTAAGCTGTACAGCAAACACAAAATCTTCTACCAAATATGTCAAAGCTACACCAAAAGCCCCATTTTTTCACAGTTTTTACCGAGGTACATGTCCAAACATGATTCTGTACAGGTTTTGCAACTGAAAGGAACAACTTGAAACAAAGCTATAAAGATGTTCACAGAATATATATTCCCATGCCAGAGATGTCACCAGGGGCCAGAGTCACTAATCCAAGTAGCAAAGAAAAAAGCATTGTAATTAACACGTAGCTTCAACGTGAAGTACAGTATACCATAGCAACCAACTATAGCTACTATCAATAAATGGATTTTGTTTTCAGACTTGGTAGATCCCGGTTTCTAAAAGAGAGGAATAATGATGATGATAGACAACAGGTTTACGGTCTGTACTTATCAATGGTGAGTGGTGACAGCATGGATTTGAAGGAAACAAGAGAACACGGTACCAAAGTGAGTGGAGTAAGAACAAAGAAAGTATTTGGTAGTTGGGGGTTCAGAGTCCAATTAACGAGCAATAACAAGGAAAAATGCCTAGAGTGCTCCAATGACATAGCAATGACCCGAATCCAGGATGACAATGTATTGACATTTTCAATGCAGCGAGGCTCCAAGGCATGAATGCAATCTACATATAGTTGCAAGATACATATAGACTGTTGATGACTTCATGCAGGCGCTACATCATGTGCTGTCAACATGCCCCAACCATGATCTAGGGTGAAATGGGCCTGGCCCCAAAACAAAATAATTGACACTAATCTTTAAAAGACTCTTTAACTTCACAATATAACTATATATAAGCCGGTTATATACCATTTGACTACGGAGATTAGTTGAACCTGGCTGTAGATTACATAAAAATTTATAGAAACACCTCAAACAACAGTTCTATGTGCACATATTAATACTACAGAAAACTTCTACTGAGTGAGACAATTGCAAAAGGGTGGAGTACATACTTGTGCAGAAGAAGGAATACACCGCACAGGATAAAGGTCCCGGTGACTAGTATCCATCCAACAGCAACCAAACTGCATAAAAATTGAATAAATGAGCAATATGCATGGTTTATCACAAAGAAAGGGGAATTCAAGCATGTTAGCATAAACAAAGGTCTGAACTTACATGTTGACAAGGAATTCCAGCCCGAGGATGGATAACACTGGTAAGATCAAACCATCAGCATGTTAGCATAAAATGGACTTAGTTTTGTTCAGAAATGCATACAATTACATTCATTTTTTAACCAATGTAACAAATCATAAGCACTTACGGAAGCCAATAAATGCCAGAAGAAGCATTACTGCTGCAATGATAATCAAAGCTAGCCGCCTGAAATGAAATTTGTCAATCATGTGCATGATGACCAGCCACTGTCATATTGCATCATTAATTAAGAGGAAATTGCGATGACAAGGAAAAATGATGCTTACACTTGATTCAGCAATTTTTGGATCTTCACAGAATTTTCAGATGTTCTAGTAGAAAGATCGGTAGCTGATGTGTTCAATTTTGCCTGAATCTCATTGATCTCACCCATCACATTTGGAGGAAGTAAGAACTGTCCTATGTCAACCTTTTTTGCAGCGGACAGACTATCCGAGAGGTTCCTAAGGTTTTCAACAGTAAAATCCGCCTGGTCGACGACAAAATCCAAGGTGGTCGTTGTGCTTGCATGGAATTTGCCCTGGCCAACATACAACACAACACTTCCAGCACTGGTAGCATTGATATAGTGGAACTAGTTTAGCGAACACAACTCAAAATATGCAAACGTAAGACAACGATCCAGCTTCACAGATGTGAGCACTTACATTGCGGCGCAGGTGAATAATATCAGAAGTATCAGTGAAAGGGCATATGCTATCCTCGAGTAGCTATAACCTTGGTGCCCACAGCAGCAATGGTGGCAGCAAATCCCAAGCATGAGGAGGAAGAATAGCACAAACCACAGCAAGGCAACGACGAACAACGGATACGCTGTGTATCCAACGGACTGAAACAAAAGAATCAGGGACAATAACATGTTACACGTAGTTTTAACATTTATAATAACATAGATGCACGCTTAGTTTTCAAACAGACTTACAGCCCAGTAGTGAACTTCGCTGATATTCCAACCGCCTGCATATCTGTTGAACGCATTCAGAGGGTCCTTCCGAAAAGTCCGGTGTTCCGCCAACACGAAGGAGCTATTGGTAGTGACATTTATGTCAGCAGGAGCTTCAGCAACTGATCTTCTCACCACCAGGCCATGTGTATCTGCTTTTTTTCAGTAAGAGTTTCTTGTTACAGCCAGTGAAACATAGGTAAATCACATGATAATATTATTATCCCAGCACATAGGCATACTCCATGCTGGTATGATCATATACACCTTGTTAACACGCACATGTTAATTTATAACTTGAACAAAAAGATTGTGGGTATAGATTTTCAAAATTACCAAACAAACATGACGCTCAAAAATCAAAAATCAAAGCTACAAGAATCAAGAAATTTTGTGGGGAATTAAACCTCATATAATGGAGCACTATACTACCAGATGATTAGGAATTAAACCTCATATAATGGAACATCACTCGGATGCCTAAAGGGCAACCTACTGAAAACCACTTGTGGATAAAGTGAGAGGGGAGACGGGGATGAGTCACGCATCGAAAGGGACGGAAGACTGGACCAGAAATGAGAAATCCATTTGGGGTACGGAAAGAATTTGAGAGCGGCATTGTTGACACCCAGCTACAGGAACCAGGAAAAAGTGTGTCGCCAAGAAGAGGATGAAATAATTGGTGTGCCGTCACAAGAACGCAGAAGAGACCGAAATTCGTGAGGCGGCCAAGATGCCAACACCATCCTGAAAAATCTTCATGCTGAAAATAGGCAGGGGCGTGACTTAAACTGACACATTAGCAAAATTCAGATATTTTTTCTGTTCTTTACAGAGAGACACAGATTCATCGAGAGCAACAGTCTGAATCCACCAGAAATACAAGCGCGGTAGCACAACACGTGGTTTTTTTTTCAGATAAAAATTGAGGGAGAAAAAGAAGAGAGGACAAGAAACAGATGCGCGGAGACATGAGGACCACAGAGCGGTAAAAAATTGGGGGGAGTATTTTGTATTTCCGCATCAACAATCCGACTTCGTTGATTTAATATCCAGAAGAAGAAAAAATGCACAGATATTTCTAACGAACACGCATGACAAAAGCAACCGCTGTCCGCGCATGAATCACCGACACAGCCAGCAATCCCCGCGGCAAATCAGGCAACGGAAACAAGAACACAAAGAACAAGAAACGACGGGGAGAACCAACCTTGGCCGGAGTGGAGCGCCCGGTGGGGCTCGCGGTGCGTGCCGGCGACGCAGAAGGAGAGCGCGACGAGGAGGAGCAGCGCGACGCGCACGAGGCGCGCGGGCAATGCCATGGCCGAGCCGCCAAGCAAGATCGATCCGGCGCGCGGGAAGGGGACAGGAACAAGGGGGGAGGAGGCTTCAGGCGGAACAAGAGAGGAAAGGGACGGGCTTTGCGAAGGGGGCAGACAGACAGGGGGGAGATTTGTTCGGCGTCGGCCTCGCTGCTCGTCTTCGCGGTTTCGGGTGCGATTCCGATGGATTTCTCGTGGAAATGGGAGGGGATTTGGCTTTTGCGGCAGACAGGCAGAGAGAGAGGGACGGACTCTCCTCCGCTTCCTCTTCCTCACTCCTGGGGTGGGACGGAGGGAGGGCCGCCGCATATGTGGTGGTGGTGTGTCACTGTGGCGCGTCTTGTGTTCTTCCCAAACTGCCCACGGGGAACTGTTCGGTGACTGTTGGGATGGGGAAGGGAAGTTACCGTCGTGCCCCTCGGTTATCATGGCAGTGCACCCGTGAAGATGCACGGACGCTCTATGATTTTTCTATTTCAGAAATGATAAATCCCGAACGTTTGGATTTTAATCATGACAACCGATCTTTTTCA